AAGAAGAAGAAGAAGAAGAAGAAGAAGAAGAAGAAGAAGAAGAAGAAAGGAAGAGGAGGAGGAGGAAGAGGACAAGGAGGACGAGGACAAGGAGGACCAAATGTGACTCAGCCTAACAAAATTTATTTATTTTAATTTATGGGCCTATCCAACTCCAATGGACTTTGATTCAATGATTTAATACCTGATGGAATTGCATTTTGACTCTAACAGTGTCACTTTTTCTGATTCTCTGGAAGGAGAAGAACAAATAGGAATTCCTCATTATTGTGTCATCACTCTCTCCACCCTTCCTTGATTAAAGGGAGAAATTTATACCAGCAGGGAAGTTGGTGTCTTGATTGTAATTTCACTTTGACTCTGTTCCTGGGCTTCGCTGTCCCCTGGCAGCTCCAATGGGCGCTGAAATAAAATATGTATAATGGACTCAAGGTCCCTGATGGGTCAAGGACAAAGAGATTGTGAACTGGGGAGTTCAAATATATAATATCTCCTGCCTGTGATAGGCAGGTAGATAGTAAGGCAGGTAGATAGTAAGGTAGATAGGCAGGTAGATAGTAAGGCAAACAATATATGTTTTCACAGCTCAGGAAGTTCTTGACAGCAACCATTCGTAGTGGGAAAGGGGGCTTATAACCCAGATCTGGGCTTCTGACAGTTTTCCCCTTCCCCAAGTCACATAGCTGCACTGAGCACTCAGCAACCCAGCTGTGTTTATGGCCATTTGCAGGATCCCATGGTCACGTGACCATGTTTTATGATGGTTTTGCCGAAAACAGGCATTTACTTCTACTTTTTTTGGGGGGGGGGGTCAAAAATATGCCAATAGAACACAATAGGCTCGCACTTACGACCACCTTCAAAAAACCTTGTAAAATTGGATCCATCACTTGACCAGCCCAATTTACAACTGTTTACAATTTACCAGCCAAATGGGCAGGCTCCATTATGGTCATATCTCAAGGACTACCACTAAGAGGTCCAGCTAGGGCTGGAGAAGACATCTACCTGAAAATTTAGAAGATGGCACCAGGTTGGATGGACTAAAGGTCCAAGTTATTATAACATGAGCATCTGTAGGAGATGAGCAGACTGAGCTGGAAGGTGGAGTTAAACATGTCATCAGTTTGGAATCGCTGTGCAGCCACAAGAATTGTGATGACTCTTATCTAGCACCAATTTAGCTTTGACTGTTAGTTGACCAGATTCTTGAATATAAGTATCAATAATAAAACATTTCAGTGCTTTGAACTCAGCAAGAGTTCCCCATTCTTTGCTCTTGATGTTATCAGAGTTATATTTATACCCATACTTCGCTACAAAACAGATCAGGCTTAGTTTTGGGGGAGGAAAATAAGGGAAAAAAATTGTGCCTCTGCCTACCAACATCCATTGGTATTCATCTGGCTAGCGTCCTGTCAGTGTGTGAGAGAGTTGAGGGCTGCTTGGAAAGGGAAACAGTATTTGCTGTGTGAGCAAGAAGGAGACAGCAAGGAGCCTGGGCGTGCCTTAGCTCAACTGTTCTGTACTAAACCTGCTTGGTGCTGTGAAACTAAAACTGAAAGTGAACCTCCTCTCCTTTGCTTGTGTTTTGCATTTGGAAGAGATTTCTTTTCAGGTAGGGAGGGGGAGTAGAACTCCTTAGCACCAGAGCGTGTTAATAATAATAATATAGGAAATACTAATGATCTGATGGTCATTTGGAAAAATCCTTTCTTAGTGAGCACCTAGAAGCCAAGAGGAACATATGTGCCAAATTTCAAGTTTATAGGCTTTATGATTCTGGAGATTTTGTGATGATATGTGAGCGGTGTTTTGCTTTTATATATATATATATATATATATATATAT